CATATCTCCTTATCTCCATCTCCCATTCTTAAACATTTTCCCTCGATCTTTCTTCTATCCCATCCCTTCTCGCCTTTCCTTTCAAACGTCTTCTTTCCATTTTCCCTCACTTCCCATTAACATTTTCCCCTCTTTCCATTTACCATCACCTCTTCTCCGTTCTACTCCTTCCCTGCCCCTCCCCACCTACAGGACGATAAGGAGATCGACCTGGAGCACCTACACCGCCGGGTTAACAGCTTGTGCACCGAGGACGAAAGCCCCCACAAGCAGTTCTCCACCTCTTCCGTCGATTTAACACCCCTTGACATGGATGCTCTACCTGCTGCCCGCCAGGCGCTTGAGCAGATCAGCGACTTCCGCAACACCCACATCACCACCACCACCTTCATCCCTGAGCAGATCCAGACCCTAAGCCGTAGCCTCTCCGCCAAAGCCGCCGCTGGATTTTCTGCTGGTTTCAGTAGCGGTGGCAGTGGCGGGGGTGTCCTCCAGGACCACCGGACTGGTGGGGTGGGCCCTTTCAGGCAGAGGGCCCCCAATGGTGGCTTCTTCCGCAGCCCCATTAAAACAATGTCCTCCATTCCCTACCAGCCCACAGGTCCAGGACCCAACTTTGGCTATGGCAATGATCCAGACAGGGGCACCTCCATATGAGGAGTTGCTAAGGTTGTTTCGGGAAGTTATATGCAGGAGGAGGCGAGGTGGTTCTAGTCAGTCATAGGTGGTAGAACAGATATGATGTGGCTAAGTTTGAAAGTCAGAAGGTGGAGATCTGTGTACATAGGAATCTTTCTGTTTTCAGTTTCAGCTGGGGTGTTTCCAGGGGTGTCTATTTTATACATGGGGAAGTCAAAGGAGGTGGAAGTCTGTTGGGGTGTTCCTCAATTGTGCAAACCACGGTGGTGAGGGGCAAGAGGGGAAAGGGTGCGGGAGGGGGCTTGACTCTTTGCTTTATTGTTGTTGTTCTTGTGATTGGGGGATTATTTTTGAGATGTGTGTGAAAGGGAATCTTGTTTTTTTTATTGTTTCAGTTTTATGACATGGGATCTGCCTCATGTTACGGGATCTGATGAAACAACCTGACTCCTATTACTATCTAAACTCCCGTCTCGGAGGGTTTAGTTTATACTAGTTCAGCTCCAGGAAATACTCTTATATTCTTGTTAGCTCCAGGGCTGTCATTTGTGGATGACTGGTGATCTCTTTAGCCATGAAACAACTTCAAGGGGGCTTCTACTACTAAGCAATTATGGGGCTGTTATTTTGTGAAGGTATATAAAACACATATACTTTTGTCAGTAGCCCTCGGAATACATACAGTACACAGCCCGTGTAGTGTTTTGAAAAGGCCCCAACTCAATGAATATTGGAAGATTCCACTTCGCCAGTTTAACTCTGCCTTTTCACGCTGTTTTCTCTTCTCTGGTGGCGTTTCACCAATACCTGGGGCTCTAAATGTGTAATCATCTCCAAGATGGTGTCCACACTGTGGCCTGACTAAAGAGAAGGCTGAACACATAGCGACACCTTCCTGGTGCATCGATCTGGAAACTGTTGAAATGCCATGACAGTGCAACAGTATGACACTGTAGAAATTGCCAGTTTGGTGCATCAATCTTAAACTACTTCTGCCATTTTATTTTCTTTTTTTTTTTTGGTGCATCAGCTTGAAACTGTTTTCACCATTCTGATGCACATTAAACTCTTTGTCAATCCCACTGCACTGTACCAGTGCCCACAGACCTGTAAGTGATTGTATGTAGATCTGACCTTTTCTTTTCTCACCTGTACTGTGCTATCTGCTTTTCAAGTCAAGGTGAGATCCTCTAATCTGACTCTAAGAGGTATAGTAAAAAGCAGCTTAAAAAAAACTTAAAAAAAAAAAAAAACATAAAAGACAAGCTGAAAGACTTCAAAAAGCTTATGCTTATTATATGTCTTTTATTGAATTTTGTTTTTGGAAAAAAAATAGATTTTAATGCGTGGAATGTGTTTTGGTCAGGAAGTACAAGAAAAAAATTAACATTGTTCTAAGCTGTCTATGTTGTTTTTTTATTTTTCAGCAAATTTTGAAAAACTGCTAAATGAGTGCTGTAGTCTCTGGTTTTGCATCATTAAGTCATTCAGACGTTTGATTTTTGTTTTTTCTTTGTTTTGCTTACTTTTAGTGCTACCATGGCTCGGGTGTTTAAAAAAGATAAAAATGTCACTCTGTAATGTCATCAAGTTCATGAATCACTTCTTATCAGGTTCAAGTGGTGAAATGGAGTTTTATTTTGTGTTGAGGAGAAGCCATTGCAACAGCATCTTCAGTGCAGGCCTTACGTGACAACTAGTTCGCTGTAACCTCCCAGCTTCCAGTTAAACCCAATATATCAGTGTACTGGGACTATTTAAGAAGAACAGATCAGTGGTTGTGCTGCGGGTGATGGGAAAGTTATGGAGAAGATCCAAAGGCCATCACAACTCAATGGCTGCCTTTTGCGAGACGAGTCCAAAATGCGGTTCTGTTTCATACTTTTCATGTTAAGGGTACTGTTTATATAACTTTTTGTTTGTGTGTCTGTTTGTTTGTTTGTTTTTTTAAGTGCCAATTAATTAAAATGAGACCATTAAGGTGCATTTTGGGGTGGGGAATGGTACACTGAGAGCATTAAAGGAATATTTTATGGGTCACGGGTGGGGGGTGGGCAGGGTTGGTAAAACGGAACCAAACCTTTTTCACTAACGCTGTATTAATAATTGATAACGATAGTTGTTTAGAACAAGTTTTCAGTTTGTTATCTTAAAGAACTAAAACTGCAAAATGTTGTGTGTAGAGAATTCAGTCAAGCCACAGTGTTTTGAAGCAAGCGTTCTTAGGCATTCTTTTCTTATATTAGGCTACAGTATGGCTATCGAATGACAAATAGGACACAGACATTTAAAAAATTTTATTTAGTATAAACGAAAGAGACATTATAAAAATGTATATTTTACATGTCAATGCTATTTTTGTTTAACAAAAAGAAAAGAGTATATCACATTGGGCTTTGGTGTTGAGTTTGAGCAGTCACATTGCTGCATTTGGCTTTTCCCTTGTCTTGCCCATGGTAAACATGAACACACACGAACCGTTTGCTTTTCTCATGTCATCCTGAGTTCATTTTATTATTTGCTAGCTAAATAACAAAAAGTGGCAAGTTCACTAAAAAGAAAGCATGCACAAACTTGCTGTTTTGCTATCTGTTAACATTTTTAATTTCATACATAGAACTACAGGATTTACTTGATAATTTTCAAAAATTTATGATGTACAGTATTTAATATAGGCCTATTTTGTTGTATGTGTTGCATATTATTCAAAAACCGAACAAACTGGGGCCTCTGTTACAAGTGGCAAAGCTTTCTGTGTATAATTTGTCTAATAAACAGGTTTTCTACAGTGGGATGGTATTTGTTGTCTTTGCTAATGTAGACAACCATCAAAGGAAAGTCACACTTCAAAATTCAACATGAAAAAATACAACAGTTTGTGAATAATTAGTTAAAGAAGAGGATAATTATTACATTAAACAGCTGTGCTCAAACTTATTTTGGCATGTTCCCGCTGCCCCATGAATTTCATCAATTCTTTACAATATAACCAACCAGATGAATTCTCTGTGATGTAAACATTAGCACAGTAACATCAGCAAACTATTGTTTATTTCTGAGGAAAAAAGTAATTCTACATAGTGTCACTTTTGCTTTTTTCTAACCTGCTTGGCTGTGTCCCACCTGCAGTGGCTCTAAACCCCACCACAGACTGAGAAACACTGCACTAAACATATCACTTCCTGGTCCCCAACACACGGGAAAACTCTTCACATACTTTTTTTTAAAAAGGAAGCATCTAAAGATTTAAATTCACAGCTTTCACCGTTTTCATGTATTTTACGGCAGCGTTGGTCCAGATACTGGATGCCAGAATCATGATAGAAGTGAGTACAAATGTTTTGTGAGTTCATTTCATGTGTGGAATACGTGTGAAGTTCAAGCCTGAGCTAAGCTTTTGTGTCTTTCCCATATAGGCTATCACTTCAAAGGCCCGTATACTGCTGTTAACAGCTGGATAGAGATCCTGCTGAGGATGACTGCTGTCAAGTTCACTGGAGCATTACACTGCAATAGCCTTTGTGAACCAGATAGTGGCACTACATAGCTCCCACAAGTGTCTCTCTGATCTTACTGTTAGCACTCAGTGATGAGTTGAATGGTTGTCAGGCATTCCCAGAGCTAATTAGAATTAATGGAAGACAGTGATGGACACAGCTGAGCCACAGCAAATTTGAACTAAAGGTCTGAGATCACTGTAAGCAACTTAATGTAGACTTAACCACTCACATTTCACCCTTTTGAAGAGGAAGCATATAGATTATAGACTCTAAAACAACTATGGATTCTTTTTATGGCATAAAATATAACTTGTAATAGATCTCTATATATTTAATGAGAACCCTCAAGAAAATAATATAGACATGCACAAAGGTTTGTTATATATGATTTTACTAAAGATTAAGTCTATACTGGTTTAGCAGATATTCAGCTATAATGAAGGGAGTCTAGTTGAAATGCTGTTAATTTCGAGTTTTATTGACACTGCTCATACACTGTAGGTAAAATGGATGAATTCCAGTGAGTTCCAATTAAAACATCAAGTATTTAAATTCCATGATCTTCATTTTTCGGCAACAGGAAGCTCCGTTGTTTCCTATTTTAAAGTTACACATTTAGAAGATTACTTCATCCGAAGCAATCCCAGATCTATGCGGGTTTAGTTGATTTAGTTGAAACGCAGATACGTTTTGAAATCCCTGTCCAGCTCCCCTCACCCCAGTCTCGTGCCCGTCGCGCCCCTGTCTCCAGGGAGATGGGAATGAGAAGGGGCAGCACGCAGACTCCTCTCGCGCACTGGAATGGGAGCCCGCCACTCTCCCTCGAGGAGCCCCCCAGGCGTGACCAATGGAACATAGAGTCTCCATTGTGGCTGCGACACTTTAATAATCGTCAGCTACAATATCCAACCTGTCGGTAGCTTCAGGAGCCCGGCACAGCCCGTTAGATGGGGGGGGGGCTCGTAGGTGGGAAGAGGGGGCAAACGCTCGGCGCCAGACCTCTAGCCCGCAAGACGTCCCCATGATGAATACATGAATAAAAAATGGAAAAGACTGATGTCGGATTATCTCTGAAATTATGGGGTTCCTTCACACAATTCCTTGCTATATATTGTGTCGTGGATATCTCGCGGATTATGAATGAAAACGCAAAAAAATGTTTTTCTTTCTTTATTTATTTTTATTATTTGATAAGTTTATTTCATTTTAATTTGGTTAGATTTTTTTTAATATTACCAGGATACTTTGGCAGCTACATTCGGGTTTGCATCTCTTGATCTTTGTGTCCCATACACCGATCTTCTGCATATTCTTCTAATCCTTCTAATTGACTGCGCTGAGCCCATTTCCCATCAGCAATCATCCTCTTGCTCTTTTGCCAGATGCCTAAAGTTTACATCTCGGTAAGCACGGCTCCTTTGATCATCAGACTGAACGTGCTTCAATTTGCTTCCCGTTGATTTTTTTAACTGTAGCTTTAAAAGCCGTATTTCCTTTTTCTAAAGGTAGCCTATCTTATAGAAGGCATAGTGAAGTTTGGCAATAACGTCGGCGTGTGTGTGCGCGAGAGAACCCTTCAACCGCGCGCCACTTGTGTCAGTACGGAAACAGTGTTGAGACCCCTACTCATGTTTCCGTTCCCTGTGAAGCCCTTTTTTTTACCGAAAGGGCGGTTCCGAGAGCTGGATCAAAAGGTTTTAGAGCCGCTACAAAAGAAAAATGGAAACTGGAGATGATCTGAGAATGAATGAATGAGCGCGCGAGCCCCAGGAACCGCTACATTCTTTTTTTTTCTTCTTTTTTTTTGGCTTTTGGTCACGCTTCATCTACCCACGACTTTTCTTCCTCAACTTTGTTCATTTCTGCTACTGGTGAAATCCAGCAGTTTGGTTTTGGCTGAAGCGGTTTTACAGTGGAAAGCATTAAATGAATTAACCGAGTCGCCGCTTCCACTGCCGTGGGTAGCAAATTAACCACTTGAACCTTGCCATTCGCCTCTTTAACCCTCTCCCTACTCTCCGTCATTCCTGAGATGTAACACGGGCTCAGAAGCAGGTAGGTGTTCTTTTCCCGTCCACTCTCCTCACCTAAAAACCGTCATCACTTGCACGTGCGTCCTGTGGGAGGTTCCCCTTACCTCCCTTGTGTTAAACACCCCCTTAAATTGTAACGTTATCATAAACAGTCCAGCGTCGGGGGGTCATAATCGCCTCTCTCGGGCTTTACCGAGACTTCTCATTGGACGTCAACACGCGACCGACGCGAGGAGGGGGGCTTCCAGGCGCGTGCCGCTTTTTAAACCGACGCCGCGCCTTGAGACACCAGAGAAGGAGTCTCGCACGCGACACTCACATTCACACGGTGAGACAACATAGCTGTGCGTGCCTCCGATAACTTTTTTTCTCCACAGTGTTTTTCTTGGGGGGAATCATGGATGTCCTAACTGTGGAGGGCTGGAACAAATGCGCACGTGAGGTGCCGGCCATGCACTCGCGGCAGCAGAGTTGTGGAAGCCCCAGAGAGGTGGAGAGGGGAGGGAAGCAACAGTTCGAGGAGTCCCGCTACGAACCTGGGCTGACGCTCGTGGACAGCGATAGCGACCCACGCGCCTGGCTGGCTTCCGCTTCTGGCACCTGTGCGGCACACGCCACTTCACCCGACTACCTGCGGCACTCGCCATGTCCGAGTACCGGCTCCTACCACGGTGAGGAACAGCACCAGTGCGTGCAACTTTTGAGCAGCTTTCCCGTTAATTATCTAAAAACCGGCTCATGCAACAGGCAGCAGGGGCTATTGGTGGTAACTGAAGTAATTTATCAAGCTCTGGAAGTTAAATATAAACAGAAGGAGCGCTTCCTTTATGTAAAGTATAACGTTGCGCAGTTGGAAAGTTGTAACGAGTTTATTGTCTAAAATAGTACTGATACGCTTTTTTCACAACCCATAGTGTAGCTTAATTTCTTTTCATTTTTCAGAGAGTGGCTCCCCGGGGTCCTCAGGCCATCCCAGCCCTCAGAGCTACAGAAAACCTGCCAAGAGCCTCACGTCTTCTTCTCTCAAAGTCAGGGAGTTGTGTCGCCTTAAAGGCACCCTCACCGGGCCCGAAGAGGAGGCCTCCGTGAGACAGAGAGCCCCCTCCCACAAGCCTGTCAACGGGATTCAAAGGCAAAGGAGAGTGGCCGCCAACGCGCGTGAGAGAAGGCGAATGCACGGGCTCAACCATGCGTTTGATGAGCTGCGCAGCGTCATCCCAGCGTTTGACAACGACAAGAAGCTCTCGAAGTATGAAACTCTGCAGATGGCGCAGATTTACATCAACGCCCTCGCCGAGCTTCTCCAAGGTCCGGTGTCCTCCTCCTCCTCCTCTTCCTCCAGCAGCAGCAGCAGTAATAACGACATCTCCAACAACACCAGCTCGCCAAAGTGTGACATTATGCTCTCATCCACCGCTGGTTATGACGGGATGAAGGACAGGGCCTCTCAGTCTCCCTCAACCTGCAGAGCAGCGGACCCTGCGCCCGTTTCAGGTAGCAGCTTACCTGTGCACATCAGCGGGGTGCCCTTCTGTTCCTCCTTCGACGAAAGTTCGTTTTCCACTAGAGTTGAAAAAGCGATGTGTTCCCCGTCTCCTTCGTCATCTGCTCGGGCGGGCAGTTCGCAGTTTGCAAATGGGAGGAAAGCGTCTCCCCGGAGCGACGGAGAGTTTTCCCCGCACTCCCACTTCAGTGACTCGGATGAAATAGCGATGGAGCTTCATTCGAGTGAAGAAGACGATCTTTCAGAACTGAAGCTGCCCTCACACCATCACCGCACAATTTCCTTCTAAATTCCCACATAAAGACACAGTATAGCGAACTTTCTCTATAGCCTACAGTGAAGTAATGTCCATAAAACGTGTCAATCATAGCGATAGTCCTGCGTTGACGAAATGCGTTTTTAAGAGAAATTCTTGCTTTTTGCAAATAAAAGAAAAAGAAGTTTAATGTTTAATTTAACATGTTGCATCGTTTAAAGATCCTTTTTTTTTTTAAAATGTGAGTAAGGCCTAATTCGATTCTGCCAATAAATATCTATCCTATAATTTTTCAGTCTCCATGGAGACGTGGTTGGAAGACCCCTCTGCCATGTCGCGCGCAGCACTGCCACGGGTATTTCCCACGTCCCTCCAACCAAAAAGCTGTCTTCCACAAAAAATCACAAGTTTATGGATAATTGCTTATATTTGATAATGTAAAGACGTTTTTGTAGCTATGAAATGAGTTTTGTTGTGATTTATGTTTTTTTTGTTTGTTTGTTTTTTTTGTAAAAATGAATTTTTGTTTTGCAACTTTAAAAGTTCATGATGTGCACTTTAAACTATAAGAGCCAGAGGCTTTGTTTGTTGTTTGTTTGTTTTCACACCATAAATATAAAAATAGAGGTTTGCTTTGTTTGTTAGTGTAGTGCTGCCAACTCCATACAAATAGCCTATTTAATGTAGCCATCATTGCTGCCGCCTTTTGTATTTTCTTTTTTTTTTTATCTTCACATCAGCTTGTGTGTCTTTTTTCTTTGTTTGAGAACTGTTTTTGTTCTTGTATGTAATGTATTTATTGCTCATAGCCCATGTTTCATGTGATTTGCTTTTTTTAGTTAAATTTGCCCCAGGAAAAAAGCAATCATTCGCCATTCTTAGTTATGTTAATTTGATTTTGAAAATAATAAAAAAAAAAAAGCAAACGAAAATGTCATGTCTCTGTTTCTGTGACCCTGTTGATGATGATAATAATAATAATAATAATAATAATAATAATAATAATTTCTTTATTTCTATGGATAAATTCCAAGTAAAATAGCACCAAAACGTTTTATTGCCAAATTTGTACATATAATGCATAAACCTTAACGAATTTTGAATCGATAAAATAACGTTAACGTCAGTTTTGGTTCCATAGATTTTATGAGTTAGGCAAATACAAATAGGCCAAGAAGTTTGATTTTATCCCTAAAGTTATAGGAGGAAAAAAAACAGAAATTTAAACACGCATTTATGTTTAATTAAAGACGCTTTTAATATTTGAGCTTCTCTTATGTAATGTGATGTAAACACGCGCTCGTAGGCCATATGTTGCAGGTACACGCGCCCCCCCTGGCCTGTTGCACCTTGTGCTCCAAACTACAAGTTGCAGTGTTCGACTTCTTCAACACAGAAAAGTTCGCTTTAATTAATTTCAGTCTGTTGCTTCCTTGAAACAAACTTTTTTTTCTTTTTCCTGAACTCTTGCCATGCTGTCCATTTGGTGAATACCGGATTTATTAATGGGGGATGTGCATTAATTTCAGGCTATTGTTGGCAGGCTCGTGGGCCGAGGTGTTGGATGGCCTCAGTGAAGCACGCTCTGTCAGCTGGTGAGCGCTCACGGGTCCCCACCGTGTCCCCGAGGACCTGACTCGAGAGGGAACACACTTTTCTCCATTAAAGAAAGGCCTGCACACACACGGGTGCGCGCACATACACGCACACACTGACACACGTGTACACTTCTTCGCCTCCGCTTCTTTCTTTCTCTTTCTTTCTCTCCGTCAACTTAGACAAACACGCACGTGGAACGCACGCACCCCGCTCGCGCGGGCTCTGGCAACCTGGACTGCTGCGTGACTCAGGCTCAAATTAGTCGTCCCCTCCACCCCCGCCCCCTCTTTCTTCAGGCTATTTACTACAATGCTTAAAAACCCTGGCGGATAAAGGTGCCTGCTACAGGGGAGAGGAGCAAAATAGGCACCTTCGAAATTATTCATGATGGTGAGCAACCTGTTTGCTACCTGTCACTGCTCTGTCTCCCACCCACTGTTATGAGCCAATCGCAGTCTGCGCCCCTGCGCTCGCCCCTCGAAGGCAGGGAATAAAGGGGAATATAATAAGGAATCCGTGTTAAATTATTAAAAGAATTTATGCAGCTAGAGCTGTATCCGAGTATGATCGGACAGCAATTTGAGCCGAGTTCGTTTTGCGGTGAAGCGAGCTCAAGTTTCGTAAACAATTTTTTTTTCAGATGGATACAGAAGAGCCAGAACAGTAACACTGATCATCTGTGTAACCACCAACCCCCCGCAGAGATGTTTAAGACGTAACCGACTAGAATGAGGCCACAACAAGTAGGCCTATTCAAATTCTGGTGTAGGATCGGGTTCAAAGAATCACTGACACTTCTCGTTATTCAGCGCGATGTTTGCAGCTGTCTGAATCAGATAAAAACAAATAAATAAGTAAACAAATGAAACGAGATTAGCTGTAAAACGATATCCACGCATTGTGCACAATAAAGAATGTGGCGCCCGACGCTTTATGTTTAAGCCAAGCAGTTTGTTTTTATTTCTAAAGCATTCATGTTTGATGGGCTATGCAAATACTCAGGCTTAACTGGGAAACCCACAACCGCTGAGCTTTCCGAGGAGTTTCTATAATATAACAGGCTATTTGGATTTAAATTGATGGTTTACCGCAGAAACTACAGGATTCGACTTCTAATAATGCAATGCCTTTATTTTATCTTATTTTTGCAGGGTAGAGTAATTTTCTGACTTCTTTCTTAATATAAAACGACACATTTTTTTCGGCTACATTAGGGTTAAAATTTCTATAAACAAACATATACAAAGTTGCAAGGTAGAAAAAAAAGACATTTAAAAAAAAGCATATCTGTAACAGGTGGGATGCTGGTAGGCAGGTGGAGGTCTCGCTGTTTCAGGCACATTAATTATTAATGCATGGACGTTATGAAAAAAAAAAAAAAAACAGCGTTCGGGAGAACTGGGGCCCCTGACGCGTGTGGATACTGCTGCGAGTAAAAGGAGAAGCAAAAAGTAGAAACAGAACAACAAACGCACATAGAGCTTAATTTGCTTGTGGCTAAAGCTTGAACTCAGATGTAAGTTTTGCACATTGTCTTTACTGCTTTAACATATTTTCTACGTGTGCAGACGCCAAAAGAATAAGAAAGTTAAATGCATCATGCACAGTGCATAGCACTGAAAAAAAAAGATGCACGTTTTGTGCAAACTGGTTAAATCTGCAGGGATCACTGAAATAATTTTTTTTAATTCTATTTTTCCTGCATTAAGAAGTTTAAAAGTTCCAGTGAAGTCCTGGGATGATAAACAGTCAATGCATCTGAGGCTTGTGTACCTTCGTGCTCATTTCTATAAATATATTCAGAAAATGTGCATTCCCCAACTTTCTTTTTAATGAAAAGAAAGGCACTTGCATTTTGTATGAGATATGGGGAGCCGAGTTGTGTGCTGTCCAAAAAGCCACTGGTCTCTCTGGGGACCCAGAACAAAAGGCAGAACTGGGCCATAGTTTCCATCTGCTGTCTCAGAGACAGAGAGAAAGAGAGGTAGAGAGAGGGCAGTGAGTGAGGACACCATGGGCAGATATAGAGACGGAACAATGAGTGTGTGTGTGTGTGTGTGTGTGTGTGTGTGTGTGTGTGGTGCTGGTGGGGGGGACGAAAGAGAAGAAGAGCAGCAACAGGGAACAGGATGAGAGTAAGGGCAATCAAAAATTGGAATAACTTAATTTCTATTCAGTTTAACCAACTGTAAAGGGCTAACACACACACACAACAATAACTAAACACCTATTTGATCTTTATTTGATCCTCATATTAGCCTAAAGAACCGACCTTTCATTAGTTAGCCTATTATAACGCATTGCAATGTAACCTATAGTGACCAGCAAACACACAATGCAGCTGTGATGCAAGGAGCACCTGTTGCATTGCATGCTCCAACTCAGTGATGCTATTAATTGTTAATGAGTTTCATTGGAAATGTTGACACAGAATAATAAAGTTATCCTTTGTGTAATTTTACAGTGAAACTACTGGTAAAAACAGAACTTGTCACATACTGTAAATAAAGCAAAGGGTACAGTGGATTCAGATGAGCACAGGTCTCAGTGTTTCTGACTGAGGAACAGCCAAAGAGTGGGAGGACAGCATTTATGTAATGTTTTGGGAAATATTAAATTTTTTTAATGGATTTACTTTGCATTTTCAGTGAGCTTATGATTGTCAGTCTGTGTAAAATCACCTATTTTTATATTGTAGAAGTAGAATAGATTTTTTTTTTAAAATTGCAATTTAGTTAAATTAGTTAAACTCTTAGCAGGAAAGGAAAACTTGAACAATGGGCATGTAATTTAATGGCAAGTATGAATTTCCCTTTGAGATCGATAAAGTTATTTTTGTTCTAAGTATTGTTTGATAAGATCAGAGCTGGCACAAATGAGACAGGAGTATGAACATGTGATGTGCTCACACAGGCACTGCTTCATTTTACACACATGCCTGCACTTGTGTCTCTCTAAATTTTTGTATCCACACTCCCAGACTCGCTGGCATTAAAAATGCAACAAATTTCAGAAAATTCTGCAAAATTAAAAATCTTCACAGTAGCAAAATGGCATATATGTGTAGGATATATATGGATTTCCTCCTAGAAAATAAAGTTATGAGTAAGCATAAAGATATTTCTCAGTAGGGTTCAAGCAACAAAGTCAGCAGTTTGAGTTTAGATAATGTCCTGATTCTCTAAAAAAAATATTTAAAAAAAATTAAAAAGAGCCACAAAACAGAAAATGCAAAAAATGTGATTGTTACAGAAAAGAAAAGACTACTAAGCGCACTTCTCCTTTTATTTTGAAAGGGTCTAAGACCCCAGGGCTGTCCATTCTTGTAAAAAAAAAAAAGGTGTTAAGCTATTTTGACAAAATACATCCTGTGGTTTCAGTGATTACATGCCACCCATGCCTTAGAGCATTTCAGCCTGCACACGAATACACCAAAGCAGTCGCCCTACGACAAGGAAGAAGATCATTTATCTCTGCGGTTCGCTCCATGAAAGATGTCCATGGGTGAAGCAGGGTCTCCCAGGGCTTTGTTCTGGGCAGGGTTCACCTCTTTGTGTCCACCACCTTCAAAGCAAATGTACATGAACACGAACATGAGGCTTCTTGGGTAACCGGCCCATTGAAGAACAGCACAATGGTGCTACCAATTATCCACAGAGCTCAATGCTCCTGTGGAATCAGTTACATGGCTTTGTGTGTGTTTTTGTGTGTGTATTTATGCCTGAGAGAAGGGGTGTGTATGTTATATTTGCATGTTTGACGATGTAAAGCTTTGATCTGAAAGTATGTATCTGGGTACATCTGTGCATGCAGCATTACTCAGTGTGTGTCTTTATATGTAAGAGAGTGTGTTTTTCCTGTATGGTCCTATGTGCTAAATCTTGTAAACTTTTATTTTTTTTCTTTGTTTTTTGTGTGTGTGTGTGTGTGTTGGGGGGGGGGGGGGGGGGACTTTTTAAAATGAGATAGAAATATTTCACATAGTTTTTATTTATTTATATGACTTTTTTGGAATGACTTCCCTGAATTTTATTGACATAAAACTGCTGGCTATAGACCTCAGCAGTGCCTTGATTATTTCTATTTATAGGACCTGAATTGCAGTTCTCCACCCCAATATGAAAACACCTTAACTGCAAATATTTTTACTCCTTTTCACACAGCGTGATTTCCACCAGGGTTGGATTACAAAGGGTGTTCAGCCCGTCCTCTGTGGAGTCGGTCTGCATTTAGAGACCTCCACCAAGACTCTGCAAACATGAAAGGAAACCTCTCTAAGCTTCTGAAGTGATTTGGCTGCAGGAGCATTACTATCTTTTTC